GAGAAAATTCAGAAAACACCATGTTGTATTGAGAAACAGATCAGCAAACTGCCTGGCTTTTATTTTTGTTAACAAAGGAGAATGGAAGCATGGATTAAATTTTGAAATCTAAAATAAAAATCAATATTTCTTCTGCTTCTTCATTAAAAAATTTGGAAAAATGAGTAAATACCCTGGACTCACCCAGTCTTATTGAAAAGAAAATAAAAAAGAAACCAAAAATTCAAAAATTTTTTAATTGCATGTCTCTTTCGTACCTTAGGGTGGGGAAGGTCCCAGCCCTGCAATATGGGCTGCATTTGGAGATCAGGGAGCTGGAGGTGCTCTCAATGTTGGAGGCTGTGGGCTGCAGAGTCCCTCCTGCTGAGTGATTCTGGGAGTTGGTTCTATGCCCCCCTCTTTTGAATAATGACTCTCACGGACTTGATGAATTAGAACCTGCTTTTCTTAGAGTTCTGTGACTGAAACATTCATCAAATCATTAAAACCCTGCCAGGTAACATATAATCATTACACAGGTCCAGTAGGCTGACAACCAATGACCATCCACTTGGTGCATCCTTTGACTTTAGACACAGTCCCACTAGCTAGTTCCACACAGAGGCACAGGCTTACACAAGACACTCTTTTCACCATCATTGTATGGCCCCCTCAACAGAAGAAATTAATTGTATAATTGAATGGATAAAAAAAAATGAGTATGTGAATTTGAGTGGCAAAATAGCTCCATTTTTTTTCAGAGTGTCACAGGAACAATCTATTCCATGTATTCAGTAATAAGAAATGGAGCCAAGCATTCAAAACTACACCCAATGTCCTTGAGAAGCAATGGGAGTCATATAATGTAACCATCCTGGAGGTTGTATTAAAAGGACAGGGTTATAATATGTGCACTAAGAAGCCTCAAATTTGAAATTTAAAGGGAAATGCCAGAATACACCATGCACTGTGACTTGCATGTACCTCCAAAGCTGGGCTCTGGTGTGGGAAATTCTAGGATATACATGGAAAGAGACATTGAGAAGCCTTTGCTGTTAGGAGACCTATCCAGTGAGCTTTTCTTTATTTGACATATCAGTGGAAATTCATAGAACCACAATAATGTGTTTAGAGTGCTGTATACCCTATTTGTAAAACACAGCTTTTCCTTTTCTTTTTTTCTTTCTTTCTTTCTTTCTTTTTTTTTTTTCTGTCCGTATAAACTTCTTTGACCTGTTGCATCTCAGGCCTTATTCTTTCTCCCATATGAGAATGTCTCTGGGGGTCAGAAAGATAGCTCAGTAAAATAAGCACCTGCCTGGCAAGTGCAAGGGCCTGAGTTCAATCTTTGGTTCAAAACAAACAAACAAACAAAAAAACAACAACAACAAAAAAAAAACGATTTCTCTGAGTAGTATATTGTGTTTTAAAATATTTTCCTTCGATACCATTTCTAAAGTGTGTGGACCTCAGTTTTTAATTTTTATTTTTTGCACTTTCTTTGTTTCTTGAGACGGTATCCCACTAGGTAAAATGGGCTGGCCTCAGTCTTGCAGTGGTCCTCCTGATTCATTGCCATGATTATAGGTGTGAAACACAACACCAGGCTACAATTACAGTTTTAAAAATGCAATGTTAGGACAGCCAAATAGTTCAGAATATTAAGGTACCTGCAAGCAGGCATAGGGGCTGGGGGTTCGATCACTGGGCCCTCCCTGCCAGCCCCACCACCACGGCACGCTGAGACAGCAATTGAGATTGGATGTGGTGACACACATCTTTAATCCCAGCTCTTGGGAGGCAGTAAAGAGGCAGATCACTATGAGTCTGATCCAGCAGTGAGACTCTGAATATGCTGTAGACCCTTCCCTAAAATACAATAAATAAATAAGTAAATGAAAATTCAATGTATATGGCAAATTGTTTAGAATTTGCTGCTTCATGAGAACATGCATAAGAAAATTAGATAAAAATTCTCCATACAGTACCAACAATATTTCCCTTAAGCCCTCTTTGTTTTTGAGACAAGGAGCAGGCTGTGGGAGCACAGCAGGTGCTCACATTTGCACTGTTCCTGGGGGCCATGAGGTGACAGTTCCAGGAGGAGCTGCAGTGGTGTGCAGAGCAGGGGGTCCTTGTCTCAGCACATTCCACATCCATGGGGTGAGCCAGGTACAAAGACTCACTGGGCTTGAGGCGTGAGTGTTTCCTCTCATCTCCTCCTTGACTGAGGGTGGGTGATGGGACTTCGGAGGTGATTTTTCTAAGCATTGGATTCAGCTGCTTGATTCCTTATGCAAGCCTGAGCCCTCAGGGATTTGAAAGAGATGTACAGAATGTTGCCAGATCTTAAGAAGACCCAGAATAACAAGACAAGAGATAATCTGATTTTAGTTTTACTGCTTTTGTTTTACTTTCAGTTTCCAATGATCTGGTTGTGTTTGTGTGATTATTACAGAAGGGCATTTCATAGAATTAAAAGCCCTGGGATACCAGGGTTTTACTCAATTGATTTGTAAACACAATTTTATTTAAATTTATCTATTTCAATAGAAATAAATATTATATAGAACTAATAAAAACACAAAAAACTTTGTTTAGGTGAAAAATTAATGACACTGAGATTTGTAGGAAGAGCATATTAGCAAAACTGTACTAGGATTTTGATATAGAGTATGACAATTTATGAGAAAAAGTAGCTTGCAACTGAGGAAATAGACTTTGACAAATAAATTTTGTAGTGGCATTATTATCAATACAATGTATTAGTTTTTTTAGCAATTTGTACATTCATTATTCAATAATAGAGTGTACTATGTACTGATGAGGATGTGGAAAAAAGTAGAGCCTTCAAAATATGTCACTTAATATTGCAATTTAGGATTATTGTTGTTTGTTTGTTTATTTTTTGTTTTTTGCAGAACCTGGGATTGAACTCAGACCCTTGCGCTTGCCAGGGAAGTGCTTATTCTACTGAGCCATCTGCCCAGCCCATAATGTTTCAATTTTAAACCACTCAGACACACACACACACACACACACACACACACACACACACACACACACAGGAAGACAAGTTTTTCAGAGGCAGAGGTGCCAGCCCCTCCTGCAGGGCACAGTGAATAGTGAGTTTCAAGATCGTTCTCCTAGGAGAGCATGAGGCGCCATTGACAGTGGCTCTGAACTAGGCGGGGAGGCGTACAGATCCTGCATGGAGAGTGGAAGCTGGAACTCAGCTCTGCTCATGCCTGGTTCACTCCCCTCTAGAAAGGGTGTGTGGGCCTATTTGAATGCTATCCGCTGTAAGGTGAGCTGGGGCCTTGGAAAGCACAAGACACCTGTTTGATAGGAAGGTGTGGCTTGGAGATTCTTTGTATCTAACCTACTGTGTCAGGAGTCCTCAAATGAAGGCAAAGCCACAATTATGCAAATTCGTGTTGCCAAAGTTGATACTCTTGTTGTTGTAGAGCATTTTCTAAGTTCTAAAACTGCTATCTCATTTGTGTCAGTTTTGTTCTTCTTACATTCTATGTAGAACTTCATTGTTTTAGCTTGGAATATAGTTAAAGCAGATGAAAGCTCTTCATATGAAGAAAAAAAACTTTTTTAATAGGGAGGGCAAACCCAGAAATTTTCCACTGAGCTATAGCATCAATCAATTTTTAAAGTTTTACAAAATTTGCTATGATCTCACAAAAATGTTAAGTTCCCTAGGCATGGCTCAGCTTTTAATTCTCCATTTTTAGCCTTTCAGATTTCTAGGTTTACACTCTGTAGCCATCTACCCTGGCTAAAAACTTGATTTATATACCATAGATTTTATTCTTCAATTGTAGACTGAAATATAGTTAGAAATACTGGAATTCATACAAACTTTGATCACTCTACCAATACAAGCTCTATATTTGAAGAAGAGATAAAATTATTACATTTTATTTCGTATATTTCCAATTTCTCAAAGTGAATATTTCTTTTTCTTTTTAGTGTCAGGAATTGAACTCAGACCCTCATTCTTCCCAGGCAGAGGCTTTACCACTAAGCTAAACCCATGGCATTGAGAGGATCATTTTACAATTGACTCTGTTTCTTTTTAATGTAATTTATGTAGCTATTCATAAAGAAATATAAAGCACAGAAAATTTTCTACAAAAATCACAAGTATTTAGTCACACAATATTTATTAAACAACTTGAATAATACAGGGTGTAACAATATTCAAAGGAGGGACCAGGGAGATGGCTCAGTGGAATAAGCACTTCCCTGGCAAACACAAGGGCCTGAGTTCAATCCCTGGTTCTGCAAAATATTAAAAACAAAAAAACAATTTTCAAAGGACACAAATTCTGCAAGTGCAACACAGAGACAAAAAGGATTCTTCTTTACAGAGAGAAGCAAACATGAATAGCACAAAAGTTTCTTAACTCTGAGGAACTAATACCTTAAATGGATCAGATCACATCACAGGGCTGGCCTTAGGACCAATGGTCTTTCCTTAGAAACCATGGGGCATCATCAACACAGCCAGGTGTTGGGCAAAGCATTCTAGGAAGCTAGACTATAATCATCGTAGTCCACCACTCATTCTAGGTGTGGAATGGGCAGTGCTCCTCCCAGAGTCAACCCTAGATTCTGTGGATGCCTGCTACAGGTAGGCAGACGTCAATACACCAGCTTAGCCTCAGGGACACTGATGGCCAAGAACAAGCTCAGGTGGCTTATGGACAGTTCAATATTGGGTTCAGAGAGCAGAGCCTTCCTGTGGTGGCTTCATTTTCAGTGAGGAGAGATATGCATGCTCCAGTTGTAAGGGGTGTCAGGAGAACATTTCCTCAGACAAGATAAGTGCATGATACCATGATCTCACTGTCACATGCGCCGTGTAAAATCTCTCACAACTTCCAGGTTGGAGCAGATCTATAGGTAAGAATTTTCATGCCTAATGAACATGCAAATAATCAGAGATGGCATAGGTAAATAGGGGTGGTCTGTGTACCAGAGCACTCTGCAATTATCTCTGGTTTCTGTAGAATCCCCCAGAGCACCACTGCACAACATGGACTGGACCTGGAGAATCCTCTTCTTGGTGACAGTTGTGAAAAGTAAGGTGATCCCTAGTCTTAGTCCTGAGGAAAAGACCAGATCTGTCAGGGGTCACTGCCTCCAACTTCTGTCTTCTCTCCTCAGGTACCCAGGGCCAGGTGCAGCTCGTGCAGTCTGGGGCTGAGCTGAGGACACCTGGGGCCGCAGTGAAGGTCTCTTGCAAGGCTTCTGGATACACCTTCACCAGTTACAACATGTATTGGGTGCGACAGATTCCCGGAGAAGGGCTAGAGTGGATTGGATATATCAACCCTTGGAATGGCAATACTAATTATGCTCAGAAGTTCCAGGGCAAGGCCACCCTCACTGCTGACACATCTTCCAGCACAGCCTACATGGAGCTGAGCAGCTTGAAGTCTGAGGACACGGCCGTGTATTACTGTGCAAGAGACACAGTGTGATAACCACATCCTGCAAGTGTCAGAAACTCAGAGGGAAGAACAGCTGCCTAGATGATGAAATGAGAGAGATGATGAGTCTAAAGATGTGATAAGGAAGTTGGTTATGAACTTGAGGAAATGAAAGACAAAAGTAGGTTTGCATCCTAATTGAACGGGTTTATTGTGGATTGTTCGCTTCAGCTGACCTTTGCAGTGCTTGGTGTCTGATGGGCTCCAAAGCCTTATGCTGTTATGGTCATGGCATTGTGCAGGTGGCTAAAATTACATTTGGCGATTTGCTTACAGTCTAATGCTGGGATTTTGGTTCTGAAATTTACAGCAGCCCTAGGTTGCGAAGCTTGCATACAATAGAAAGGGATGTTAGTGTCAACACCTCCTCTCTTGGTGTTGTTTTTGGTGTTTTCTGTCACCAAGAAATCTCATACTTGGCCTTTGCTACCTTGAGCTGTCAAATATGAACTGTAACCTCTAAAATCTGTGAGGCAAATAAACCTTTCATTCTTTAGCTTTGGTTGTCAGGTGTTTCTCCTAACAATGAGAAACTGAAAAGCACAACCCCCACGTAAATACAAAGAAGAAAGAAATCTCTAACAATAAGCCTAAAAGAAGCAGCTCCTGGAATGTATTTGTGAGCACACAAACAAAGTTGTCTCAGTTGACAAACTGCATTTGATCCATGATTCTGGGAAAGATTTTCTTATTCCTGTTCATGTGGGGGAAGATCACCACTGTCATGTATTACCCAATGTGGCGTTTATCAGTAGATGCAACTTTTTGTAGGATGCATATGTTTTGAACTGAGCTTATTGGAAGCAGAGGAATTCATCAATTTTGATGATACAGAATTGCAGAACAATTGAACAAATATCTAAGACAAAGTTTCACAATCACAAGACATTGGTCTCTTTACTTAATAAATTTTACCAGAATGTTGCTGACATGTCTATTTAACAAAACTTACTAGTCAGGAATCTTTATATTCACATCTAAATTTGATTACAAAGCAGAGAGATTTCCCAGGAAGCTGTTTTCCCCTCGCATGTATAATCTGCCCCCTACCAGCACCCTGTGCTACAGTCCCTCTTTGTCTGAGTGATAGGACCCACAGTGAAACGCAATCATCTCCCATAGTCACAGCATTAACACTGATTTATTCGTTATGCTGTGTATCCTGTGGATTGGGATAAAGATTTAATGACATGTTTTCACTACAGGATTAGTGCATGTCCAGATTATTTAGGTGATCACCAGGAGCAACTCTGTAGTACCTTGGGGAAGTAGGTGACTATTCAGATAGGCAGAAGATGGGGCCCTGACAGAAGAGTGTGAACGCAGAGCACCTGGGAGGAGTCCAGTGGGCCAGACTGGCAGTTGAGTGCTTTCCTGTGAAATCTCCTGGGGCCTCCACTACACGGTTGACTAACACTGATAGTTCAAATTCTTGTTTTGTAGTAGTCCTCTTAAATGTCCCAACTAAGTCTACAAGCAATCTTTATCCCCAGAGGAGAGCTGCAGGAGATGAAGCTGATGGAAGCACCCTCAGAGGTGCAAGAGAATGTTAGGCACAGATCAGTTTTGTGAACACCTCTTGTTCTTCTATCCATTACAATCTTCACATCCACAAGAAATTCCCACTTAGCCTCACAGTCAAAGGACCATTTTCTATTCCCCTTGGCAGAGAATAATGGTCTTACTGCTATTAAAAGTGGAAGAATTTTGTTTGGTTCATGTTTGTTTCTAAGCATTTCTGAATGATGTATATAATGTAGAATAATTTAACAATGTATTTGTTATTTTGCCATTTTATTTAAAAACATTAGTAAATTTTAAATGGTTTCAAACTTCAAAGTAACACTCAACAATGTGAATTCTCAGATGCTCAAACAGCTGTAGCAACAGATATAGTATAACACATATCACTTTAATTATCATGCTACATTTACATGATAATGACCATGTTAAGATGAGTATTTTTCCTTTATAGAAAAAGATACTGATAATATCCCCAGTAAAGCAATGCTTTCAGGATTCATTATGACATGTGATTTAAACCTCATTTATGCCACACTTACTAGGATCACTTGACAGGAATTATCTAAAAGTACATTTCATGAACTCTGGGTAGTTGTTGCCATAGCCTTTTGGTTTTTCTGCAAACACTACTGGGGCAAGAGGGGCTTTTTTTTCAGTACTGGGGATTGAGCTCAGGACTCTGAGCTTACTGATTTCCAAGTAGTTCATTTATGTGTCAGGTGCAGATCTGACTGTCTAATGCATGTCCTTATCAGGAAAAACACTCCGCTCAACAGCCTACATTAACCTCTTGCCTTCTTCAGTTATTGCATAGAAGTCTCAGCATATATACAATTATTTCATAATTTCTCCTAATGAATAGAAACACATTACAGTGATATTTATTAATGTGGCCTGCAGTAAACACCATTTTTAATGAGAAAAATGTGTAATGTAATGTGTGAGATATGGCTTTCTATGCATACTGTAGAGTACCCAGTGTAATCCACTCCTGTAATGACGGTCTTTACTCAAACATCCTTCCCCATTGTTAAGGGTTTTGTGTCTTTTATATAATCCTCAAATGGAAATACAGATTAATGCTGAAGACATACACTAAAAAAAAATCTTCAAGCAAAACCATTAGGGATGCAAAGCTTTCAGTTCAGAATCTAGAGAGCAGTCACACATGGGTGTCACCTCTGTAAATACCAGAAAGAGCTCCATCCTGCCCATAGAGGATCTGTGGAGGTGAACAGCAAGCCCCAGAGTTCCAGCCCTGTCGGGGGAAGGATATCACATCTGCTCTCACAGCTATGCTCAGGACAGGGCAGGATCTCCCCTCCTCCTGGCTCTGTAGGACAAGCAGGGAAGCTCGCTCAGGTTCTGAGCAGTTTTCAAAGGAGAATCAGTAGAGATTTCCCATCACCACATGACACACACCCTGTGTGGTCTTCGATACATGGTCAAAGACCCTAGCATCCATTATTGCCCCTATTTTACCCTGAAACGGATATGGATGTGATAATGGGATTCATCCTCACGTGCTTCTGGAAATGTCCATCCAAGATGAATCATGGGGATTTCCTTAAATAAGGTGAGATCTGACCATTTTGCTCTAGTTCAGAAGTTATGGGACTCTTAAGAGTGAATGTCTTGCTTGAAGAATGTTACATGTGATAAATGGTGTCAAACATATTTCAACTTTCTGTAGTGGGAGAAAAATGTCTTCATTAATTGTTTCATTAATGCTCATCATGCTAATGTGTGAATATGAATATAGGAATGAAATAAACAGAAAAAGAACAGGCGTCTGGAAAACAGATTCTAAGGATGATTGACAAGGGAAGAGTGGAAATACAGTCTCGTGATACTTGTAACTGTCCATATCTCCTGCAATTGTAGGACGGAAAAAGACATTCACAAGGTCAAAGCTAGTGCAAACCACAAAGTGAGTTGTTCTTGCTCTAAAAACAAGCTAAACATCAGCAAAGAAATGGTTGATTGAGGCAGAGTGTCCCACACCTATAACCCGGATACTTACTGGGGGAAGCAGGAGGATCACTGTGCATTTGTGCCAGCATAAAACCAATCAACAAAATAAGCATGGCGATAAAGTACTTTGAAAGTGTGTAGAAGCGGGTTTGGAGAGATGGCTCAGTAGAATAAACACTTCCCTAGCAAGTGCAAGGGTCTGAGTTTAATCCCCAGTTCCATCAAAAAAAGAAAGAAAGAAAGAAAGAAAGAAAGAAAGAAAGAAAGAAAGAAAGAAAGAAAGAAAGAAAGAAAGAAAGAAAAGAAAAGAAAGTTTGTAGAAGATTTGAATAATTCGGTCATTATTATCTTCCGTATGATGTTAGTAATGCATAATTATTCACAAAGTCATCAATCATAAAGTAAGTATTTTGACTTTTAGAATGACATTCAGAGAGCAGTAAGAGAAGCTTAACCTAGAAAGGTGCTCAGCACACAGGAGCTGCACAGCATCATCGAGGGTAACACATGGGTTTCTTGTGTTCCTCAGGGATTAGAAACATCTCTTTGACATAAGTGCAGGAAACATATTTTCACATCCAGTTTCTTCTGGGTCTGATACACAATTTTTACAGCAGGAGGCAGGTGGATATCTGAAGTTCATTGAAAGTAGCAGTGAAGCAAGGTCTCAGCCAGCACATCTGGCCTCTGTGAGGAGGGGTCATGGAAAGAAAGTGGGAGCTGTGCTCACTGCTGTCCTGAGAAAGCAGCAGTGACAGCCTGGATGGGAGGCAAACAGTGGGGCTGGAACTCAGGCATGGGGAAGGGGCATCAGGTAGGCAGAACTTGGAGCAGGAAGATGTACTCATCCTCTGCCCTGTTCCTACCATTCCTCTGAAATGTACATTCCACTGGTCACAGAGACAAACAGAACACTAGGGAAAAAGGTTCCCTCAGTAGCATAAAAGGACCAGAAGCATCATGACCTATACTTCTCCATCATTTAGAGGAGTTGTTTTGTTCTTACTGGGTAACAACTCCAGGATCTTCACCTTGCATGGCCAGAGCTCACACCACTGAGCTATATCCCTGATCCTTCTCCATCATTTAAGAAGGAAACTCCCCAGGAACACATTTAACCTTCAACTGTAGCTTCAACTTCCTTTCTTCTTCTCTCATAACTCAGAGCTCTGTCTTCCAAAAGTGTCTCAGGTAAGGCTGTGGTATCTCTGAGAAGATGCAACTTCTGGATCTTACCCTGTGACTGATGGTAGGTCTACAAAGTGAGTGTTGGACACGGGTCCACAGGAAGGACAGTAAAGCAGGTGAATAACAACAGTTCCTTGTCCCCAGGTGTCCTGCGCCACGTGCAGCTACAGGAGTCTGGACCTGGACTGGTGAAGCCCTCACAGACCATGTCCCTCACCTGCTCTTTCTCTGGGTTCTCCATCACAAGCAGTGGTCACTGGCATTGGATCTGTCAGCCCCAAGATAATAGGCTGGAGTGGATGGGGGACTTAAATTACAATGGTGGCACTAGGTAGCCTGGCTCTCAAAAGCCACATCTCCATCTCCAGAGACACATCCATGAACCAGTTTTCGCTGCAGCTGAACTCTATGATCGGAGATGGCACAGCCATGTACTACAGTATAGAAAGCACAGTAAGCAGATGTGAGACACAAACCTCCCTCTGGGGTGCTCAGGACTGACAGCAGGTGCTCAGCACACACTGCAGTAGGTATCTGACTTCATGGTGGCCAGAAATGGAGAGAATCCCAGAGCATTTTCCTCACTTGATTACCACCTCCACCTGTAGTATCAGCCACAGAGATTCCAAGGAACATTTTTTTTCTTTTACTCTGGTCACACATGTTTTCATAGTGAGGCTTCTCTCAGCTTTCTTTACTGTCTCAATAAATTTGGCACAGAAATTTCTTTTCAATACAATTATTTTTCACCTCTGCTGACTGCATGGTTTTATTACTGCTTTATGTGTAGGAATATTAGCTGTAGAAATGATTTTTCGTGATCACAGCATTCCTGCACTCTACTATCAGATACTTTTCCAGGGTTTCTCATCCTGGAGGGCTCTTCCCAATTCTGGGTGAGGCAAAGCATTTTATTCTGCCGAATTGGAAAGCATACTGAACTTTAATCAGGGTGTTCACACATTATTGGAGCTGTGCAATTCTGCAACGCTAACGACGTTGGGTAAAGCCTTGGCCTGTACGTGCTGATTCCCCTGTGGTGGGGCTTCTCCTGTCATCTAATTCTTTGACACTATGAGTGCTGTCACACATTTTAAAATTTCAGTACTGCAGTTTAGTTATTATGAAATGGTTGTAAGATCTTTCCCATTCCAGATCTTCTGCTCTAGTCAGACTTAGGGAGTGCTCTCAGGGAGGTGGGGATGCAGCTCACAGAGAGACAGGTTCCAGGGACAGGATGTGGACACATGGAGTCCTGACTCAGCCCCTTCTGGTTCTGTCTTCTGCTAGCCTCACTCCACTTGCCGCACACTCAGTGGACTGAAGGTACAGGTCGGTGTTTAGCAGCAACCTTGTGAGATCTGAGCACACAAGACACTGTCATTTTTCCCCACATTCTAATCCTGGGTTTGTTCAAATCCTTTACTGTACACAACAAAGTACAAACACAACCTTATCTAACATACTACAGAGTTACAAAGCTCAAATTTTATAGCACTGACTGTAAAATAAAATCAAATAAGCAATGTATACATTGCCAAGATAACCTGCAAGACCACCATTGAATAGCAGGTGAAATGAGGATGCAGGCTCATGATGATCTGCAAAGCTGGCTCTCAAGCTACTCATCAACATTTCAGAGTAAAGAAGACAAATGGGAAGTGATGTAAGTGAGAATATGAAAAGACAGAACCATTTATGACAGCTGATGGGGGGATTTTCTCACTCTAGATATTTGACCCTCGATGCTGGAGTACTGAAGCAGGAATCAAAGGGTCAGGCCTAATGGAAATGGGGTATTGGTCCCCAAGGTACAATCAGACTGCAAACAGTTCCCAAATCATCTGGAAAGGTTGGGGCACTCTGCCCCCTGGAGACTTGCTCATTCCTACAGGCTCTGCCACTGAACAGACTCTCAGAAGATGAATGAGAATGGGTGAACTTCCTAGTCAGAAAACTGTTGAGTGCCTTTATGGACACAAGACTAAATCAATGCCCTTCTGCCACTACAACCTGCCTTAAGACCAAATGTTTCCACTGATGTCTTTGAAGTCTGCCTGAGTTAGGGAACCTCTTCTACTGCTCCACTTTACTCTAGACAAGTAAGAAAACTGGGCTGAGTGAGGTATAAGTTACAGGGATGTGCTTCGTATCAAGAAGAATTGGAGCTAGCATGGTTCCTGTGGCTGCGGTGACCAGGAGAATGGGACCACCTGTGTACAGGGGACCTGCGTCTTGGGGAGCGTGACCTGCTCATCTGTGGGCATGACCTGTGCCACATGGGAGGTGGTGGCAGCATTCCCCTGCGAGGGCTGAATCGCTGGGGTTGTGGCCAGTGCCAGTGAGCCAGCAGAGCAGGAGCAGTGATCTCCTGACCCTCAATTTGTCCTCCATCCATGTGCTTCAGTGTTTTCTCAGCTTCATCTGGATTCTCAAACTCCACATATGCATAGTCTTCGGATAGATGAGGATGCATCCTTTCTACAGGCATGTCAGTCATTTTAATCTTCCCATAGGTGGAAAATACCTCCATGATGTGGTCCGTGGTCACATTCCTGGTAAGCCTCCCAAT